TCTGAGTAAGGATTTTGGTTATTCAAGCGAAAGTTATTCAGTATTCCTCAAAGTCTATCCAAAGATATTTCTTAAACTTAATTTACGAAAACATAGTTAGAAATATTTGTTAATTTATTTGATTTAAAATTAAAGATAAGTAAATTTTGTTAGTTCAAGAAAACGGTAAAATACAAGGTATGACATATGTACATCTATAAAATAAATTTAATAGTAGTATGCTCATCATATAATAAAAATAAATAAATAAATGTACTAAGATGTATGACAATTTCATATGTTGAAAAATATAGATGTGTCCTATATAAATGTTATTCAAAATAAATATTGAGTTTAAAGGATATGAAAATTGGCCATTTTATTTAATGTAGAAATAAGACGTGAAACAAAATGAAAATAAATGAGATAGTAATCGGGTGCAAATATGTAGTAAAATAATGTGTATATTAAAGTGTATGGATTTAAATTATAAAAAATAAGTAACATTTGTAAAAGTAATAGTAGATATGAAAAAATTAATATGAAGCCTATGAAAACAATAAGTTGCATAGAGAGAAAACTAAAAAAAATATAGAATTTGTACCTTTTTCTGTATGACATATATATGTAGATACTTGTATTTTTAATATCTATTGACATATCTAAAATATTAAATTAACATGTTAAGAAATTAAAATGTCTTAGTAATAGGAGGGGGGGGGGGGTGATGTCAAAAGAAAATAATGTAGGCCTTACTATTGGTGTACCACCCCAACTCATCATCTTTATGTCCTTACCTTAATTTGAAAACTACGTTTCTATACTTAAAATCTACTTATTTCAAGGCCTTCAATGAGTTGCATTATTACTCTAAATAAGTCAACATTTTTACCGAAAAAAGTTCTCATCTATAAATTCTAAGAAAATGTATGTTCTTGTCTTGAAGGTTGTAACTCTTTGATACTGGACTTCGTATACTTTGAAGCCCTTAAAGCGTGATGTTTTTAACTTTTATAAAAAAATCTGCACTCTTTGAAATTGAAAATGCATCATTTTTTGAACCTAAAATGCGGCATCACAAAGCTCTCACAACATAGTGGTTTGTTCCAAAAATACATATTTTTTGTACACTACAAATCTACATTATAAAGTTGTTAAAAGCAACATTTTTTCACTACTTAAAATCCACATTAAAAAGCTGAAATTTTACATTTTAAAAGCCCGTTGTGCTTTGAGTCTAAAAAAACCTGCAATTTCACACTTCAAAAAATCTGTTTGGTAAAGCATGTTAAATCAACATTTTCACACTAAAAATTGGCATTTTTTAAACCTAAAAATCCTGCATATTTTCATTAAGTAGCTGAAAAATTTGTCCTCAACTCTTATGTTATCATTAAAAAAATATAAAATGTATACATTCCATAAAAAGGGGTTATTCTCAAGTTAACTTTTTCTTTAAGGTTAAGCTTTCATGATCAAAAGATACGTTAATATAAATGAACACTTTGTTTTAAAACGTCGTCCTAAGACAAATGTTCATACTGAAACCCAATATCTAGAGGGATATGAGATGAACAAACACATCGTACTGTCGCTCTCAATTTGTTTGTATAAACCCAAAAAAAATAAAGCAAGCATAAACATAAATATGAAAGCATTAATATGGCAAAATGTTATTCAAAAATAGCAACTGATCATATTATATATCATTTATCATGTCATGTATCATATATTACTAAAAGTGGGAAGATCCTAACATCAAAGTTGAATCACTATTTTACTCCCTCCAATAAATTAAAATTTTATAAAAGATAAAATTAATTTTTTTCTAATTAAATAAAAATCAGATATAAATTATACTATATCCTTCTATTTGATTTTCTTAAATATTTAAATCTAGGGAAAAAGTTTTAATTTTATGTAGTCAATGTCTTTCAATTACTTAAGGCAAATGATTATATTTTTAAAAGTCTTTCTATTCCTCCTATGTATTCACGCATCACTTCATTGCTCAAGTTGAAAGGCTATTTAAATTAATTTTAATTTTGAACGCACTACTTAACCTACATTTAATTACACACTACTTAACTTACTTTTGAACTTCCATACATCACTTCAACCTTTTTAATTAACTTAAATTAAGTTTCACCTTTTACATATTGTTGAAATGTAATAATATTTAGAAAAAATAACTTAAATACATAACTATAAGTTTTATATTCTCTAATTTTCCCTTCTTTTTTTAAATATTACATAATTCCCTTTTTTTAAATTTTAGTAGAAGTGTATAGATACATAACATTCTCTCTCATATAGTACACAATCTCTCAATATAATGCCTATTTTTTCTCCACTAAAACACTCAATCTTCTAAATTAGATTTTTGAATTTTGAATTATTAATTTTAATTAATTTTAATTAAAATACTCAATTTTTAAATTTTGAATTTCAAAATTCAAAAAATTTGAAATTTCAAAAAACTGCACAATTTCTCTCCCGTTCTTATTGTTCTTCTTACTCCATCATCGATTAGTACAAAGTCTCCAGCTTTCGTCAAAATCATCGGTTTTTCTTTTTATGTCTTTCCCTTTTAATCATTCTCAGAAGTTTTTCATCAGATATCACTAACCCTACAACCCAATCGCTAGAATTTCATATGTCTTTCACTTCCACACCCACTGCCGGTGACAATCCATCTCGGCCGCCGTCGGCGGCGGTGGCTGTTCCGAAGCTCCGACAGCCGGGGATGGAGAGGACGGGAATTGTTGATGAGAATGGGGCAGAAAATAGAAAAAAATATTTGT